CATACAAAAGGCAGGTATTATATCAAGAACCTTTGTTGCTAAATTCAATTTATTTGCAAATTGATATTACAATATACGTGGCATTGTATAAAATTCTAAAAATAGAATATTATTAATGATTTGTTTCTTTGTAGTTATGCACAAAGCTACACAAACGGAGATCTGTGCTCTGCCCATCACGGGTATCGAAACCTGGTTTCTAGCGTTGTAAGTTCGCAAACAGACCGCTGTGCCACATTTTCTTTGTATCTTTGGTACATTGTATTGGACTACATTTTACATGTTACAGTACAGTAAGAGTAAAATGTTATTCACGTTTTTTTTATTATTTTAAATCCTTTTACAGTTAGAAAATATGCATACCATACTCACTGTAATGTATTATATCCATAGTAAAGTCTGACTTACGTCGTGGAAGTTATTTCAGTATCACGATCATCTTGTATATTTATAGTGCTATGTTTGTATGTACTATAGCAACTGGGTCGTAACTAAAAGCAATGACCACGGAAAGATGGTGCCTAACTGACACACATCGACATATAGGAATAAAACACGGACGTTGTATTTAGCTATTATGGGATACTGATGACGAACACGCTTTTTAGAAAATAAAATTTGTAAACGGCTTGAATGGGTAATGAAAAGGCTTTATTATAAATGTACAACATTTCGACAAGTTTTATTATTAGATATCAATGCCCTCTAGCCTCTGGCCAGCCCTGTATAATTTGGACTTTTTTTCAAGAAATTTAAATATGAATATACTGGATAAAGTTTTAGCAGTTTTCTCATGAATATTGATACTATCTACGTGAAAGGATTTTAAACATACAATTGGTTATAATAGAATATAATAAATAATCCTAGTTACAAAACTTCCTTGTCTATCGGTTGTGGTATTTAAAATATGACTAGTTAGAAAACTTCCTTCTTTTACAAAAACTTTCGCAATTCTGTTTCGTGTTGATTGACTCATCAATTATTCATCAAATCTATTGTTGGCCGTTGTTGCAATGGCCAAAAAGAATGTATGTAATGTGTGATGCTTCAGGATCTATGTTCAATACAGTTATAATAATTAATATGTACTATTTTATTGTAAATTAAGTACATAAATTTTATAAAATCAGATAGTGAGTGACATTTTGTCTTCTGGTTGTGCGGAAGCTTACGGAAGTGTGTAGGCGATCCTGAAAGTACTTTTTCACTCTGAGAGTACACCTAAACGTTCGTTTCCTAAAAAGGTGTTATTAATAATATTAACTGGTGCATGGGTAGGTATTACATCCTGAGTGCTATAAAAGATTCTTTGTAGGTAAGAGTATTTACAAATACATAGTGAAGTTAAGTATTATTTAATTTTAAAGGTCTACTATTGATATCCTATACAACGTTATTTTTGCACATTGTTTTAGTTTTCGGGATTATAAAGCTAAATGCCTGACTCAGTAACAAGTTAGTTAGGCCTAAGAATAAGATTAAGAATGCTAGGAGTAGAGCAACAAACAAAACTGAATGACTAACCTAGGCTAAAGTAAAACTGGGTAATTGTAATTACTAAATTAATACATCTTTATCTAATTAGTAACTTAAAACATTATAATTCTGAGTTTCAGGAATAGATGAACTTAGTTTTAACTTGTTTAACTTTTAAAAATTACTTTTAATTTTAAATAAAATTTAGACTATGGTGTTACATGTAATAAAGTATAGTTTATTAAGGTTCGGTGTAATATTACTGTATTACTATTAGAAATATTAATATGAGTATTAGGTAGATGTTATCAATAATGTGCTTGTCCTTACTATGTTGTAATATCAGTACTTTTGCTGTTCTTCTTATGAATAAATAGTAAATAATGGTATCTTGAAGATGGGTAAGATATGGTGGTCGTTGAGAAGTTTCTGTCCTGCTGAACTTACTTGCTCTACAAACAAATATAAATGACAATCATAAAGCTGATTGTATCTTGAAAAAACTTGCCTGAACTGGGCAGCATATCCACTCATCTCAGAAGTTGCTAAAGCAGGTAACTTTCTATATCCAGTGCATTGTTATTACTGAACACTACCAAAATGTATCTTTCCTAACCCAAAGAGAAATAATATACTTAACCATCAGTCTAGACATAAATCATTTTACTATGTTGTTATCACTAATGCTTACTCAATATTACATGTGATTAAATGCCCAGTCAAATAATACATGTTATTATCTAATGCGTGCAGTTTAAAATAACACAGTTAAGTCAGTTACATGAACTGCTTGCATTGACCTTTTATTTTTCTTCATGATTATGTCAGAATTATTTATAATCCTTCCTATTATATCCCTATATTTCTAATTCCACTTTATTCTTCAAATCTTAAATTTTTTCTGCTTGTTTGGAGGTCCAGGTTAAGTAGAAGTTGTTTCTTCATAAAATGTTTTATATTTTAATTTATTGTAGAGAGTGTGAGACTTATACAAGTATATTTTGTTTTATTTACTTTAGGCTGTTCTTTTAATCATGAATCTCATCCAAAAACAAGTATGTTTCTTGGTGGTGGTGTTCTTGTCTGCTATTGTCTATAGCCAAGGTAAGAAATATTGTTTTTAGGTTCAGAATTTTCATAAGTGGTGTATATATATATACATAAGGAACTGGTGTATAACTTTCAATAACTAGGTATAGACAAAACTAAAGTTATATATATATATATATATATATATATATATACATAAGGAACTGATGTATACCTTTCAATAACTAGGTATAGACAAAACTAAAGTGATGTATATATATATATATATATATATATACA